TCACCTTTTAAAGTAGGTGCCACTCCTCCCCCCATTTTATAGACAAGGGTCCTGAGACACAGAGATCAAATGTCCTGCCCAAAGTTACAGAGCTAATGAGTGTTTGAACTGGGGTTTGAATTCTGGCAGTCTTGATTCCAGAATCCATGTCCTTAACCACTACACTACATACTTTACAAACACTGAGTTACAAATGCAACCTGACAAAAGACCTTCCAACAAATCTAAAACATTCCTGAAACTGTTCCTGGTCTTACCCCTCGTTCTAGTGAACAACCAAACACAGTTCTGAATGGCTATCTCCTAGTTTAGGGGAGAATTACTTTAAAAAAAAAATTTTTTTTTTAAAAAGAAAAAGAAAGCACTAGGCCAGGCATGGTGGCTTATGCCTGTAATCCCAGCACTCTGGAAGGCCGAGGCAGGAGGATCCCTTGAGTCCAGGAATTGAGGTTGTTGTGAACTAGGCTAACACCACGGCACTCTAGCCCGGGTTACAGAGCAAGCCTCTGTCTCAGGAAAAAAAATAAAAAGGTACTGATACTGATGCCTAAGTCCACCCCTCTACCACACAGAATTTAATTAACCCAGGCATCTTATCTTTAAAAGCTCTCCAGTGTGAGACAAAGCAACAAAACTTAAGAAGCCATGTGTGCTTATTTCTGCTTGCCAGCATAACTTCACAGAGCCCCTGACTCTGAGTGCAGCATTCTGGGAAGATGCTTTGAAGACAAAACAGGAGAGAGCACATGGCCCTCAACCTCTCTTGCCTGAGACACTATATTCCTTAGAAGATAAATGGCCCTGATCCTTGCTTTTCTTACATACACAATAATGCCTGCTGAGGTTAGCAATGATGCTTCTACAGTTTATAACCAAATGTCCTGTAGTAATTTATAACCAAATATACTCCCGCATACAAACCTTCATGAAATTCTGCTTTAATGTAACTTCTGAGCAAGTTTGGTATGATTTTCATGTGTTAAAACCCCACCACCTTTATATAAGCATGAAAAGTGGGATGGGATGAAATATTGTGCCAGAGGGATCCAACAGAACCTCTCTGAAAGACTCCTCCCAAAGTATAGGACTTGTCTATAGTCCTCAGTAAGACATCTGAATAAAACTAATTTTAATTACTTAAAAGCTTGACTTTTTTGTCCTTCAATCAACATCAGGTATCTTTATTATCTTTATCATGATGGATGCATACATACATCCCAACTTACCAAATTATACTCTTTAAATATGGGTAGCTTATTGTATCTCAATTGTATCTCGGTAAAGCTGAGATATAAATAAAAAGCTTCCCAGGTGATTTTTGTGGGCATCTGAAATGAGAACCATTGAGTTAGGTCAATCTCATTTTAGCAGATAAAGAAACAGCTCCAGAGAGGAAGAAATATGCTTAAGAATCAATTACACTAGCAGCACCTCCAAGACTTAGAACCTGTGAGTTTGAAGTATGAACAACTAATCCAGTGGTTTTACCTTAAAACCAGAATTATAGAAAATTACTGAGCTCCTCAAAATATTAAAAAGAGGCACTTGAAAATTGAAATGCCACGATTGTTACTCAGAGGTGTGGGGGGCATGGGAGCAAAAATGAAACAAACAAAAACACCACCCGCCTTTAATTGGCAGAGTCACAACTTGAGGGCTGTGGTCCTTTCGCTGTACTCCGGGCATACCTTCCCTCACTCTGTCTGCTGGACTGGGGAGCCTGCAGTCGATGAGGAAAGAAAGCTCTCAGCACTTCTCTCATTCAGTGGACAGTTGCCTGCCTATCTCCTTAACTCCAAACTTACTAGTTCCAAATGCCTTTTGAGTATTTCTACTTCAGATTCAACATGTGCGAAATTGAACTCATCACCTCCAACCCCAATCTATTCCTCCTTTTCAATGCCGTTTCTTCATAAAGAGGTCCATTATTCTCTATGCCAAAAAAAGTCCTCACCAAAAAATGTACCTCAATCTTGACATACAAATGGTGTCCACTTATCTCCCTGAATATCTCTTAAATACATTCCTCCTCCATCCTTAGTCACCTTAGTTTAGGTCCTCATCATTTTCTGCCTAAACCTTCTGACTCCCACCTTTATGTTACTGCTTTTTTGCAGCTGAAGTAATTATGTCCTGCTGAAAACCTCTGAATGGCTTACCCATGAAATATGGGACAAAACCCAAACTCCCTAGTATGACAATGATCTAGACCCAATTTCCTTGTTCCATACCCTTTCCTACTTCTTCAATATGCACCTTGATTCCAGACATCCTGATCTACCTATGCCTTTGTATCACAGCACATACTATTCCATCTGCCTAGATGGATCTATCTTCACCAATTCCAGTTTAAGCTGAATTTTCCCTCTTCTATGCCACTGGACCTCATACTAAATACATAACTTCATTAAGGGGATTATTCCACTGTTTCAAGATAGTCTGTTTCCACATTTGCTTTCACACTAGCTTATGAACAACTTCAGAACAGACCATATTTTTGGTTTTTTTCTCATCTCTACATCACTAGTACCTGGTAAGAGCCTGATACATGATAGGTGTTAGAAATTTTTGTTTTTTTTGAGACAGGGTCTTGCTCTGTCACCCAGGCTGGAGTGCAGTGGTGTGATCATAGTTCACTATAACCTTGAACTCCTAGGCTCAAGTGATCCTGCCTCAGTCTCCCAAGTGGCTGCGACTACAAGCAAATGCTACCAGACCTGGCTAATTTTTTTCCTTTTTTTTTTGAGACAGAGTCTCACTCTCTTGCCCGGGCTAGAGTGCTGTGGCATCAGCCTAGTTCACAGTAACTCAAACTCCTGGGCTCAAGCAATCCTCCTGCCTCAGCCTCCCGAGTAGCTGGGACTACAGGTGTGCACCAACACACCTGGCTGATTTGTCCCAGTAATTTTTATTTTTAGTAGAGATGGGGGTCTCACTCTTGCTCAGTCTGGTCTTGAACTCCTGACCTCAACCACCCTCCCGCCTCAGCCTCCCAGAGTGCTAGGATTATAGGCGTGAGCCACACTGCGCCTGACCTGGCTGATTTTTCTATCGGGGTCTTGCTCTTGTTCAAGCTGTTTTCAAATTCCTAGGCTCAAATTATCTTCTCACCTTGGCCTCCCAAAGTGCTAGGATTACATTACAGGTATGAGCCACTCTGCCCAGGCAGGAGTTTGAAAATTTTTAATGAATTATTATTTTTTTTTCATTCTTTCTAAATTACTGAGTGGGCAACTAGTAGCTGGTAAGCAGGGAGACCCTTCACAATTTCAGAAGATATGGCTCAACTACTATGGCCACATAATACCCAGAGTGGCCTAAGGAGTCACCATTAGTTCCATGTGATTCCATAGGCACTTGAGTTTACTACTCCTATTGCTGTGCTTAAAGGGTGGATTGCGTTTGGCTCTGCTACCAGTCTCTGCTCAATGCAGCCAGTCTCTGCTACCAACATGACTTTCAGTCCAGGCCCTCTATTACTCTGGGCAATTTGGCCATGAACTGTACCACTCTTTGGCCTATTGAGGGGAGAAAATGTCATTGACAATTCCCATTCTAACATTAAGCCTCCTTTCCTTCAAAGGTGAAGGTGGCCAACAAAGCAGCAAAGATGTATAATATGCCCTTTAAACATTGGTTAGGAAAAGTGAACAAGTTAGCTACATTAAAATAAACAAAGATATCTTGCCTCTTCCCATTATAATATGCCTCTAATTAATCTAATTTGGGACACTAGCATTTTAATAAATTATTTCAGAGAGCCTTTCTCAAGGAAGATAGGACCTTAAAACTATTCCTGTTACTTGATTTTACCCTCCACTGATAAAGAAAAGGGAGCAGAAATAGAATATGACTTACTAAGTATCATACCATAGAATAGACAAGACTTCACTTCCTTAACCTTTTTCTCATATGTTTTCCTGTTTTAAAAGAAACAGAAATTAAGCCCTGTCAACAGGGTGACCTAAGGAAACACTCTAAATCAGAGGTCCTCAAACTTTTTAAACAGGGGACCAGTTCACTGTCCCTCAGACCGCTGGAGGGCCAGAATATAGCTTAAAAAAACTATGAACAAATTCCTATGAACACTGCACATCTCGTTTTGAAGTAAAAAAACAAACGGGCAAAAACACTGGCATGTGGCCCACAGGCCGTAGTTTGAGGACACCTGCTCTAAATGATTCTTACTTCTTGAGTCACTCATCGTGAAATCCTATATACAAAATCTGAATGACAATCTTAAATCCTGAGGGGCTACTTCTTTTGACAAATTATATTCTGAAGACTAGAGAACATGTTGTAGTCAACGATAATCTAATGAATACATTAAATAAAAAGCAAACGGTTTGGGGGAGGATCTAAAAAGAAATTAGAATAGACTAGCAAAGCTGTCTCTGGTGTCTCTTTCCACTAAACAAAAAGATAAATATAGAAATCTTATACCTACTTTTTAGAAAATTAAAACTCTTTGTATAAATTTTTTTTTTTTTTTGAGACAGAGTCTCACTTTGTTGCCCAGGCTAGAGTGAGTGCCATGGCGTCAGCCTAGCTCACAGCAACCTCAAACTCCTGGGCTCAAGCGATCCTCCTGCCTCAGCCTCCCGAGTAGCTGGGACTACAGGCATGTGCCACCATGCCCGGCTGATTTTTATATTATATATATTAGTTGGCCAATTAATTTCTTTCTATTTTTATGGTAGAGACGGGGTCTCGCTCAGGCTGGTTTTGAACTCCTGACCTTGAGCAATCCGCCCGCCTCGGCCTCCCAGAGTGCTGGGATTACAGGCGTGAGCCACCGCGCCCGGCCAGTCAAATCATTTCTAAAAGGCAAAAGATGCCTAATCATTGAGCCATGATTTCAAATATTTAACTTGGTTAAATCCTACTTGCTTTATCTAATCTGTATCTAAACCTACATGAATGAGGGAGATGAAATAAATGGTTTAACATTCAAAAGTCAAATAATGGCAACTATGAAATGATATCTATTAACCATAGAATTCCTTGTATGAGAAGATTTAATGATTATCAGCCACTGACCATTACAGACTTTAAGCGTTAATAGTTCTTTCCTATGTAAAACCAGGTAATTAAACAGCCTATCTCAATTATGACAAAAGAGTAATAGTGATGTTTGCTTCCACATCTACATGCTTCATTAAAGAATCAAAGAAAGTGCTCCCAGTCTCCCAAGTCAACAAAGCACAATTACACATTTTTTTCCTGATCAAAGTTTCAGTTGAAATAGAACACTACTTTGCCTTTTAATAGCATTTTCACCCACAGCACAAGCATTTTCCCATTATTTTTTCCTTTACCTTCAATATCCTTATGAGGTAGTCAAGGGAGGGAGCAAGGATTTTTTTCTATTTTGCAGATGAGAAAACTCAAGGTGAATTTTAGATCAATGATTCTCAAGCTTGGCAGCATATTGAAATCATCACAAAGTTTTAAAAAATCCTTATGGCCAGGTCACATCAACATCAGAATCTTAACATATGGAACCCAAGCACCCATATTTTTTAAAGCACTCCAAAAGTGACTCCAAAGTACAGCCAAGGTTGAGAACCAATCGTTTAGATGATTTATACTTAATCTTCAGTATCTAACTAAATGCTCTTTGAGCACCAATGAAAAAGAGATTCCATTTCTTTGAACATTGCAGCAGTTTAATATTCTGTAGAGCTATTGGTCTCTAGTAACAAATTTATGTATAAGCTAACAAATGAAGGCTTTTCATTCTTCAGATGCTCATGCTAACTATGAACCTCCATCTTATTTAATTTGCAAATGCGACATAAAGGAATTTAAATCTTTGAGATAGAATGGTTTGTTAAATATTTAGGCAATTATCTGATTCTAGGTCCAATATGCAATAACCATGTGTTTTTGTTTTGCATTCCACCCCTTCAAAACTTTGTTGCAAATGAATGTTTACTAACAAGATAAAACTCTCAGCAAAAGCTCTTGGAATTGGCCATATTGCAACCTGAAAAAGAAACAAGTACTTAAAAAACTGTATCACTTTCTAATTAGTCCATTATCATCCTGAACCATTCTCTTCTTTAATCAAATTTTAAACCTTGCCAAATTGAATTGCTCTGCACCAAAAAAATCAATTTCTTCTATACCAGCTATATTCTCTAATACATTTAACATATTAATTTCACTCTGTACAAGGTTTCTTCTTGATATGGATATCAAAAAGAATCTTTAACAGATTTTACCTTTTCAAGCAACATACCAAATACACAATAAATACTTGTAAAACTTTGAGGTGGCAACAATAAATCTTTGTTCTATGGCTGAAATCCCCTGCATCATAGGAGTACTGACAATCTTAACTCTCAAGGAGCAACCCAAGAACCCCAGCCAACTGCTTGCTGTCCCTAATTTTATTAGATTTAAAACAAAATATACATAGAGCAATAACCAAAAAAAGTACAAATATTTCACTTGCCCTCATCAATTCTTATGTATCTAAAACCATACAATTTATACTTTCATACAGAAAGATGTTTGTTTCTCTTCTAACAAAAGAAAATCTCAGCTCATGTGTGTTGGATTATTAGTTCAAAAGTTTTAGTGAAGAGAAATAAGATTTATAAGTCAAAATAGGAATTAATGTTAAACTTTTCCACAATGAAACCTTCAAAACATTGCCAACCTGTAGTTTTCAGCACAAGGTGTTATATATTTCAAGTCCCATGGGGGCAATTATCTATACTGAGATTAAGAATATTCTTAACCTGTTTCAGGTGGGTAAGTAAACATTTTCTTTATAGCCCCAAAAAAGAGTTTGAGGCTTAGATTGTTGCATAATGTAAACAATATTAAATTAAAAATTTTTTGACAATATCTACAGCATCATAAAGTTACAAAATAAAAGGATAATTAAATCAATTCTTTTTTCCTAGAGTCTATATCTGAGGCATATAAGAGCAAATGACAGGGTCCTGTGTTATGAGACACTTTCTCAGAAGGCCAAAAAATAAAACTATATACCAAAAAAGACGCACATTACTATTATGTTTAGATCATCCTTACTGACATATGTGTGATTACAAATAGATTTGCCTCTTTCCTCAATCTTTAGCCAGGAGATTTAGGGACCTTTACTATAATTTTGATTGTAAAAAATAAAACAAAAAACCCAACGGATTGTAATAACAATGGGAACTGTAAGCCAAAAATAATACAAAATGAGCCAATACAACACACCTCTTAAAATCCTCTTCTCTGTAAGTTACCCAATTGTCCCCAAAAGTTATTCTGATTTTTGTACCATGTAGTGGTTTTTAAGAGATTGAACTAGAACAAAGCAACCTCTTTGTCCTTTTTTCTTTTTTACAGTTTTTTTACACACATATTGTATATACAACTTTTAAAATAGCTGCACAATTTTATATCTCACTTTTAGAGAAGTGCCATCCAGGCAGACCATGCTTCTCAATATATTAAAAATATTAAATAAAACCCAACCAGTTTCATACTTTTCTAATTAATAGTCAAGCTGGCTGGAAAAAAGGACTGGAGAAAGAACAGGCAGTTGTAAGATGGGACCAATCTTTCTTCACAAACACACAACTTAAAAATCTGCTATTTCCTTATCTTATCCCTTTTACAGCATCTCTAAAATCTCACCTTTAAAGTTGGAAATAACACATTGCTAACTTAGAGACAAAATCTGTTGCAACATGCAATATGTCAACTGCCCACTCAACCAACTGCAACCCTGAGGATTTTTCTGGCCCAGTAGAAAGAGGAAACACAAAGATAATCTGCTGTAGAGTTGCTTCTCCAGTTTACAATTTCACGTGTTTTTCAGGATGTTTCTTGGACATGCACGTATGACACTGTCACTTCATGGTTCTACTTTCCATAAGCAGATCTCTCCTCCACTCAGTCTTTCATCCCAAGAAAGCCACTGTCATCCATCCAAAGGTTTTCCAAGGTAAACCAAAGTCACTTCTGTGTTGCCATATACAGCAGAAACTGCTGGATATAAGCAGACCTTTGGAAGTCCTCTAAAGGCAACCCCCAGGAATTCATATCCACGTTCAAAAGCTAAAGTCTTATCTTCCATGTCCAAGATGACTCGAATTCTTTCTCCTATCTGCAAACAGACATCAAAAGGTTAGAAGAAAATCCACTAAGGGCATAGCTAGAAGAAATATAACACAAATCAAGAAGTTGAGAATATTAATAAGATTATGTATCCTAAAAGTTATCTAGAAAAATTAGAAGGGAACTTTCTGGTCAGGGAGAAACATCTATAAGGAAGAACATACAACAGTCTCATCACAATGCTTATTTTGATAGTTTTTAAAAAAACTCACATGGGATCTACATTTAATTACTAACAATTTAACAAATTAAATGAAATACTACTCATTCATAAAAAGAAATGAAATTTTGATATATGCTACAACAGGGATGAACCTTAAAAATATTATGCTAAGTAAAATAAGCCAGACACAAAAAATAAATATTATATGATTCTATTTACATGAGATAACTAGAATAGTAAAATACATAGAGATAGAAAGTAAAATAGAGGTAACCAGGGGTGGGGAATGAGGAAAATGAGGAGTTATTGTTCAATGAGTACAAAGTTTATGTTGGGGATAGGGAAAAAGTTTTGGGTGTAGATAGTGGTGATGGTTACACAATATTGTGAATGTATTTAATGCCACTGAATTGTATACTTAGAAATGGTTAAAATAATAAATATATTATCTATGTTTTACCACAATAAAAACAAAATCACTGTAATAAAACAATTACATAGTTTTAAAAGTTTATAAAGAAGTTCCACATGCTAATGTGGAACTTATCACAAATAGTCAAACCTGGCTATAGATTCTAAAGATGCAGAATAGGCTTATTAAATAGTCAGTTTGTGGGCCACTGCTCTGAAACACCTGAATGTCATAAAAAAAAAAAACTGTGGCATTGGCTGGGTGCAAGAGTTCACGCTCATAATTCTAGCATGTTAAGAGGCTGAGATGGGAGGATTGCTTGAGGCCAGGAGTTGGACACCAACCTATGCAACACAGCCAGATCTCATCTGTACTAAAAATTTTAGGGAGGCTGAAGCAGAAGGATTGCTTGAGCCCAGGAGTTTGAGGTTTCTCTGAGCTAGGCTGACGCCATGACACTCAGTCTAGCCTGGGCAAGAGACTGTCTCAAAAAAAAAATTTTTTTTATAAGTAGCCAGGTGTGGTAGCAAGTACCTGATGTCATAGTTACTCAGAAAGCTTAGGTGGAATGATCACTTGAGCCTAAGAGTTTAAGGTTACAGTGAGCTATGAGCATGCTACTTTACTCTAGCCTAGGTGACAGAGCAAGACGCTGTCTCAAAACAAAACAATATAAAACAAAACAAAACAAAGCAGCACTGAATATTTCATTCAGCAGCACTGAATGAAACTGATGCACTGGAAACACACAATATAATCTAGTTCTTTTCCCATTTGGAAAAGTAAGCGAAGAAATAAAATAAGGATATTTCATTTTTATAGTTTGCATGTATAAAAGGATGTCTTTACATATACATATATGAAAAAATTACAGACACACATATACACACACTTGGAGGCAGAAAGTCGTAACAAAAATCAAAATGTAATACTTTCTCATGATAATCCCTGCGGTTGTCATTTACTTTCCTTCATTGTATTTCCTAGCACCAATAACTGCCAACACATCTGCTTTTTCCCTTCCTTTGCCCAACTCACAGATCAACCCACATACCATTTTATGGACCTAAAAAACCTCCAAATCATCACTACCACCACTGCTACCAACAAAACATAAATGAGAAGCTAATATTTTGTTGGATATTGGCTTTGTATTTTATTTGTATTATCCCATTTAATGCTCACAACAATCCTAGAAATTAACCCTATTTATAGAAGATGAAACTAAGTCAGAACTACTCCTGGTGAAATTTGCAAGTTTGCTTCACCTTTGAGCATATAGCATATAAAAGCACAGGGAGCAAAAAGCAGAAATTTTACTAGCTTTAGGTGTCAGAGGGCAAAACTTGGAGATGGCAGAGAAACTAGAAACTTAGAGGAACTCCAGAAGCAACATAAAAGATGAGCCCCAAAATCTGAGAATAAACTGCCCAAATCCTTGTGTGATCACTATATTAAAAAGGCACAAGGAATCCCCCCCCCCAGGTAACCAAGCTGAAAAAGCAGCAAAGCTGAAAAACTGAGCAAAAAACATTAGCTGATGTGTACCACAGGGAAGACAGACCTTATACTTTGAGTCCAGGGAAGTTAACTGCATACTAAAACAAGAAAATCTGTACTCTTCAGAATAAAGTAGTTTCTAGAGAAACAAAACACTCCAGAATTGCTACTAAATATTATCTACATGTCTAGTTTACACTTAAAAAATTACTAAATCTGAAAAGAAGCAGAGAAGTGTAATTCATACTCACGGGAAAAAAGCAGTCAAGAGAAAAGGGCCTAGATACTGGATTTGGCAAAGAATTCAAAGCAACAATTATAAATATGTCCAAAGAATTAAAGAAAAAATAGTATTTATGAGTGAATAGGAATCTCAGTAGAGAAAAGGAAACTATAAAAAAGAACCAAATAAGGCCGGGCGCGGTGGCTCACGCCTGTAATCCTAGCACTCTGGGAGGCCGAGGCGGGTGGATTGCTCGAGGTCAGGAGTTCAAAACCAGCCTGAGCAAGAGCGAGACCCCGTCTCTACTATAAATAGAAAGAAATTAATTGGACAACTAATATATACAGAAAAAAAAATTAGCCGGGCATGGTGGCACATGCCTGTAGTCCCAGCTAAAAAAAAATAAAAATAAAAATAAAAAAAAAAGAACCAAATAAAAATGCTAGAGCTAAAGAGTACAATAAGCAAAATTTATTAGCCCAACTCAATAGCAGAGTTCATAGCAGAAGAATCTATGAACTTGAAGATACAGCAATAGAAACTAATCCAAAGAATAGAGAGAAACAGGTTGTGGGAAAAAACACAGCTTCTGAGGCACAGAGACAAGGACAATATCAAGCAGTCCAATTTACATTAAATGTAAATGCACTAAACACTCAAAAGGCAGACTGTAACACTGGGTTAGATAAACAGCAAGACCCAATTATTTGCTGTCTAGGAGACCCACTTTAAATACAAAGACCTACTGAAAATAAAAGGTATGCCTAGATTCTAGAAAGGATGGAGAAAAGGCCTAGATTCTAGAAAGGATGGAGAAAAGGGATACTATTCTTGAAGTAATGGTGATTGATGGTGAGATAATTATTTAAAGAATGGTTATTTGCAATAGTCAGCAAGCATAAGAAAACTGGAGTGGCTATATTAATCAGACAAAACAGACTTGAAGACAAGAAATATTATTAGAGTTAAAGAAGGTCATTTCATAATGATAAAATAATTAATCAGGTAGGAAGACATATCAATTAGAAATGTATATGCACCTAATAAAGGAGCTCCAAAATACACAAAGCAAAAACTGACAGAACTGAAAGAAGAAATAGATGAATTAGCAAGCACAGTTAGAGATTTCAATATTCTTCTCAGCAAATGACAGAAAGAATAAAGAAAAAACAGTAACTATATAGAAGACTTGAATGCTATCAACCAACTTGGCCTGTTGTTTACAGAATATTTCATCCAACAAAAGAATTTACAGTCTTTTCAAGCACACATGAACACTCAAGACAGACCACATGCTGGGGATAAAATACGTCAATACATTTAAAAGGACTGAAACTATGCAGAGTATATTCTCTGAAAAAACGATGACTTAAGGACTTTCACTACAAAATAATCACAAAGGTAGTGATAGGACTTTCTCCTCAATGATTATTAAGACTAGATACCCTTCTCCTTCAGGGTATTTGCAGACCCTAAAAGGACATTGAGGAAAGGATTCTAGGAAAGAAAATCATTCCATATTTTATACCTCAGAATATGGGATATATTTTTAGTTCTTCTATTTTCATATGCCTGACTTGAGGTCATTACTGAGGCTAGAGCTTTCAAGCTACATGTGGCTCTGAAATGTGTAATCTATAGTTCCTTAAGACTTCCAATTTCTTATCAGATTTTTGTATATTACACTCTGCCAAGTCTATGGTAATAATATGGCTTTTACAAATAGGAACTACATCACAGCTTCTGTGGCTGTCAAAAAAAAAGAAAGAAAGAAACTATAATTTTGACTCTAGAATCAAATGAAAATGGCTTAAGGCTAAGATGAAATAATAAAAAATGCAGCAGTTTGCCTGAAACTTACTTGTCTCTACAGATACCACTAATGCTTCCACGGACATTGATTCCACAAACAGATTAATAAGTAGCAGAGGGTGAGTATGAATATGTAAGGATACAGGTGCATTTGTTGGGTTAGGTGCCTAAAAAAAGATTTGAATGTGCTATGACATAGGAAAGCTGACAATCTAGAGCATGAGTTGGCAAATTACAGCCCCTGGACCAAATGTGTCCTGTAGCCCATAAATAAGATCTTACTGGAATATAGCCATGTTCATTCATTTACATATTATCTATGACTGTCTTTGTGCTATAACAAGAGTTGAAAGTTGTGACAGAGACCATATGGACTGCAAAGCCTAAAATATTGACTATCTGGCCCTGTACAGAAGTTTGCCAACCCTTGATCTAGAGCAAAGATGGGTTGCTCAAGCTTGAATATGTATTAGGAAACAAATATTGAGACACATCATTTATACCATTTATTTAAAAATTACCAAAAAAAAACTAGAAAGCTGCTATATAAAAATTTGTAAATTTAAAACAAATTAAGGCATGATTTGACAAAGGCCCACACCTAAGAAAATACCCAGTTTCTCACCTGATATTTTGGCGCATTGTTGCACTGTGGAAAACTGCCATTGACTTCCCCATTATGTAGTAGATTATTGTCCACCAGATTCCAGCCCCAGCTCTGGTCATCACTGCCTAGCAATGCCACATAACCTTGGCACTGCATGGGGGCCCGTTTCGTAGCAATTCCAATAACTGCCACAGTGCCCAGAGGGCCCTCCCACCACACTTCCCATGCATGGCGGCCCTCACTGAAACCAATCTTGGTCCTTGCACCATCAGTGCTCTGAGCGATGGGGTTTCGATGTAAAGTAAAGCCATTCTTCTTAATGTATACATTCCTGGAGCAGTCATTAGTGCTGAAGGCATGTTGGAAAGCCCGTACCTGAAAAGATCAGAAACAGACCAAAGAAATACAAATTTTATTTTTCTTAAATATTAAAAGGTACCCAAACTTCAGGTTATATGTCTTTAAATAATGAAGTTATATATTTTTAAATAACACAAGTCTTTTCAAATAATGGCTAAATTTTGGGATGCCAAACTAACCTAATAAATTATATAACATTAAAAATCACTGCCAACTGTTTCATCACTGATCAAAATTCTAAATTACAGTATAATTTCTCGAAATAGACTTTTATTTATTTATTTATTTATTTATTTATTTATTTGAGACAGAGTCTCACTCTGTTGCCCAGGCTAGAGTGAGTGCCGTGGCGTCTGCCTAGCTCACAGCAACCTCAAACTCCTGGGCTCAAGCAATCCTGCTGCCTCAGCCTCCCGAGTAGCTGAGACTACAGGCACGTGCCACCATGCCTGGCTAATTTTTTCTATATATATTAGTTGGCCAATTAATTTCTTTCTATTTATAGTAGAGACGGGGTCTCACTCTTGCTCAGGCTGGTTTCCTGACCTCAAGCAATCTGCCCGCCTCGGCCTCCCAGAGTGCTAGGATTACAGGCGTGAGACACCACACCCGCCCCAAATAGACGTCTTAAACCATCAAAAGATATATAAAAGATTCAATCCAAGGAGCAGGATTAAAAAAAAATCATAAAGGTATACACAAGAATCCTTAGAGATTATACTGAAATGTTTACGGATAAAATGATGATACCTGGAAATTGCTTTGAAATATTGCTTTGAAGTGGGAGAGGGTAAATATGCAAATATGAAAATAGACTCGCTGTGAATAATCATTGGAAAAGCTTGGCAATAGGTATAGGGAAGTTCATCAAACTATTTTCTCTACTTTTGTTTACATTTGATATTTTTATATCAAAAAGAGACGCACAGTTTTCATATTGCCACCAATGCTATCATCAAAAAGAATATTTTATGTAAAATAGAGACCTCAGTAATAACAGGTCTAAAGTTTATGAAAAATTTTAGTAACTACAAACTACCTTAGATCTTCAGCATACTTGCTTGGTACTACTCATACACTAAAACATCACAACTCTCATTTACCAAATTAAATAATCCTCTAGAATTTATAGGAATAGTCATAAGAGCAGCTAGCAACAAGACAGGTGAGTTGACGTTTAAGTAAATATAAGTTTTTTAAGTTTCCAAAATAAAGACAGTATGAAAACAGCTTTTCTATACAAGTAATAACAATTTCTCATACTTTTATAATTTAAAACTTTTTTTATATCCCTACTTTACTTTATTCAAAGTACCCCAAAGCAGAAGACTGGGACTTTAGTTAACCTGAGAATTCAACTCTAGAGTCATAGAATGCCAGCATTAGAAAGGCCCTTAAAGTTCACCCAGACCAACTCAGGGATAGCAACAGCTAGTTAGTGCAGGAGCCACAAAGATAAGTCAGGACCCAGTCCCCTCCTCCCCCCATCACCTGTTCATTTACCATTAGCCAATACTTACTGTTTCATTGTTGTACTACAGAGCAGAGATATTTAAAAAAAAAAAAAAAAAAAAGATTAAATGGGGCAGAGCCAAGTACGGTAGCTCATACCCATAATCCCAGCACTTTGGAAGGCTGAGGCAAGAGAATTGCTTGAGGCCAGCAGTTCAAGCTCAGCCTGGGCAACACAGAGAGATTCTGTCTCTATAAATAAATAAATAAATAAATAAATAAATAAATAAATAAATAAATAAATAAATTAGCCTGGCATGGTAGCACATGCCTATAATCCTAGCTACTTGGGAGGCTGAGGTGGAAGGATCATTCATGCTCAGGAGTTCAAAGCTACAGTGAGCTATGATTGTTCCACTGCACTTAGCCTGGGCAACAGAGCAAGACCCCGTCTCAAAAAATAAAAATTAAAAAAAGGATAAATCGGTGAGAAAAATGTACTTAAAATATTAAGTATTGTCTAAATAACTCAAGAAACTATCAAAAGAATTAATTCATTATAAAATATTTAATTAATACTTTCCTATGCCTAGTCCGTAATTCTTGTAAATTCCAGTTGTTTTTCTCTTCCTCTTATCACAGTGACACTATTAAAAACCTCTTCCTTAAACTTCTATGACATCTTCCTATTTCCCAGGACTGATCCTCTATTATATTATTTCTTAGTGACCACCCTTCCTCTGCCCCCCGTAAAAATTTCCAAAGTTGTTTGCCCTCTACCTGAATTCTTTCCAGATTTGTCTTCCTAAAACAGCATCTTTATCATATCTCATCCCAGTTCAATAACCTTTGATAGTTCCATACTTAGTACATGTCAATTGCAAATTCTTCTGCCTAGCTTTCAAAGCCTTCCAGACCTGATGCCTCCTATTTCCCTTTCTACCTTGATGTTGTTTTCTTTGTCTATAGTACCATTACCTGCTTTCTTCCTCTCACATATCCTCTAAGATCACATCCAGGAAGCTATTCTTTCTTTTTGAGACAGGGTTTCACTCTGTTGTCCGGGCTAGAGTGCAGTGGCATCATCATAGCTCACTGCAACCTCAAACACATGGGTTCAAGCGATCCTCCTGCCTCAGCCTCGAGTAGCTCAGACTACAGGTATGTGACACCACATGTGGCTTTATTTATTTATTTATTTGGTCTTGCTATGTTGCTTAGGTTGGTCTTGAATTCCTGGTTCAAGCAATCCTTCTGCCGCAGCCTCCCAAAGTGCTAGGATTATAGGTATAAGCCACTGTGCCTGGCCCCATGAAGCTATTCTTAAGACACTCAATCCCCCTCATTTCTTTCTCCTTAATTCCTACCCACCATTGTCTGTACCACATAACACCTAATTCTGTAGATCTTATTTTCTACCACATCTCTAACCACTTGATTTTAGTAAAAGATATCTTACAAACAAAACAGGTTTTGTTTTTGTTTTTAGGTTTAATCTAAATCAATCAAACCTCTATAGGAAATATGGAAGACAGAAAAACATGTTAAGCAATACCATGGGAATGCAATCAGCAAAATTCAGGCAGAAGGTAAACAATCTGGTTTCTTCAACAAATAAGCTGCAGAGGTGGAGGAGAAAGCAAGTGAATCTGTAGATTAACATAACCTTAAGAGACATACCACCCTTTGCCATGGTAACCTTATACATATCTTGATTAAATAAACTATAAATTAAAAATGTAACATTTGGCGGGGTGCAGTGGGGCCCATGCCTATAATCCTAGCACTCTGAGAGGCTGAGGCCTGAGGGTAGCTTGAGGTCATGAGTTTGAGACCAGCCTGAGCAAGAGTGAGACCCAACTCTACTAAAAATAGAAAGAAATTAGCCAGGCAACTAAAAATAGAAACAAAAATTAGCCTGAAGATCAAGGATCGCCTAAGCCCAGGAGTTTGAGGTTGCTGTGAGCTAGACTGACACCACGACACTCCCTCTAGCCTGGGCAACAAAGCGAGACTCCAAGACTCCAATTTGAACATTGCATTTTTGATATTAAGGAATTATTGTTAATTTCTTTTTAGATATGATAATGATATCGTGATTATGTTAAGTGTCCTTATTTTTTATAGACAGATACTGAAAAATACAGGTGAAATGGGAAAATAAATACCAGATTATAACCTGATAGAAGTGTTTAAAAGTAAATAATAAAATTTAAAATATTATGAAAAATAAAAAATTAAAAAATAAATACCAGATTAATAAATTAAAACAATTGTTAGTTTCTGTCTCATGGTCTCATGCACAACCTGAATTTTATGTTATAACCAGCTGTGTTAAGATCTAGCTTAGGCTCTCAGTCTGAAATTTAGAGAATCACAGTTAGATGCCAAGTATGACTGGAATAATTAATGCTATTTGGTGGCATGTAAAACATGAACTTTTTTTTTTTTTTTTTTGAGACAGAGTCTCGCTTTGTTGCCCAGGCTAGAGTGAGTGCCGTGGCATCAGCCTAGCTCACAGCAACCTCAATCTCCTGGGCTCAAGCAATCCTGTTGCCTCAGCCTCCCGAGTAGCTGGGACTACAGGCATGCACCACCATGCCTGGCTAATTTTTTCTATATATATTAGTTGGCCAATTAATTTCTTTCTATTTATAGTAGAGATGGGGTCTCCCTCTTCTTCAGGTTGGTTTCGAACTCCTGAGCTCAAATGATCCACCAGCCTCATCCTCCCAGAGAGCTAGGATTGCAGGCGTGAGCCACTGCGCCCGGCCTAAAACACAAACTTTTTTTGTTTGTTTGTTTGTTTGTTTGTTTTTGAGACAGAGTCTCGCGTTGTTGCCCAGGCTAGAGTGAGTGTCATGGCTTCATGCCAAGCGCTCGAGAGCCTCCATTCTGCCTGGATCAAAGAATTCCTTTTGCCCTAGACTCCCAAGTAGCTGGGACTACTGTCACGCGAGCCCATGAGCGGGCTAATTTTTTCATATATATATATATATATATATATATATATATATATATATATTAGTTGGCCAATTAATTTCTTTCTATTTATAGTAGAGACGGGGTCTCGCTCTTGCTCAGGCTGGTTTTGAACTCCTGACCCCCGCCTCGGCCTCCCAGAGAGCTAGGATTACAGGCGTGAGCCACCACGCCCAGCCTAAAACAAGAACTTTTAAAAAAGAAAGCTCCTAAATAGACTGACCAACTCCAAACACTTTCCAGTTTTATGCTATTGCAAACTTGTTCCCATTCTTCTCTATTACCCAGACTCCTTGGAAATTCTGTTTGACTCCTCTGTCTTCCTCATCTCACTCACCCAGTCAGCTGTCCACCTATGTAGACTTGTTCTCTGCAACAGTGCTCCTAGCCATCCCCTTCTCTCCTCTACATATCTGTTCAGGTCTTAAGCATCTCTAGTACAGGAACTCACTAAACCCTGCCCTCTCCAAATTCATCTAATTGCCTATTCTTTTTACAGCACAGCTTTTGTCACTCCCTATTCAAGCTTCCATAGTTTCTAACTGTAGAACACAGCCCAAACTATAGACTGAAGACTGTATTTCAAGCCCCTCCCTGATATATCTAGCTCTAGCTTATCTTTACAAACATATTTCCCATGACTTACTATTATTCAATCTAACTAAACTATTTTGTATCTTTAGCCTAGACCTCTCCTCTTAGGTTCCAACCTCTAAAACCTGCCTACCTAAAATCTCTCGTAAGTCTCATTAACACTGTAAATTCTACTCTACCAAAACTAAACTCACTGCCATTCCTCCAAAATCTAGCTCAAGTGATCTATTTTGTGAGCCCAATACCTAGGAGTCATCCTTAGCACCTCCCTCTTCCTCACCCCTATTTCAAATCTATTGCCAAGTTCTGCAGATTTTATTTCCTAAATTTTTCTCCATATTCTCTACTACCTACTTCCTAATTGATCTAACATACTTAAGATTCCCCTCCAACCTGTTCACCGTACTGAAGTCAGAAATAACCTCTTAAAAATGCAAAATAAGCATATTACCAATACCCACATCCATAAATCTCTCTTGCTTACAATTCAAAATTGCTTTCCTATAGTTTGGCCCCAGTCCACTTCTACCATGTTATCTCAAACAGGCATTACCTCTGCTCTTTATGCTCCAGCCATACTGACATATTTTCTGTCCCTAATACTCTCAAGGTTCCCTCCTGGAAGACTGTTCTCTCTCCCCTTGGCCTATTTATTGTTACCCTTCCAGTCTTAGTTCATGCATCATTTCCTCTGAGAAAACCTTTCCTGACCACCCTACCTAAGTCAAATCCTCCATTACTGACACTCAAAGCACTAACTATCTCTCCTTCATACTACTTACCAGATGCAGTTTTATATCTGGGTGATTATTTGGTTAACATTCATTCCCCCCACTAGACTGTAAGCTCCATAAGGCAAGGCAGCTTTGAGAGTTTCTGTCTGTTTTATCTGTCATTGCATCTGCAAAACTCAGTACAGTCCCTGGCATTAATTTTTTTTTAAATAAAAATATATGTTATACAAACCTTTTGCTTTCCTCTTGTCCTTCAGTTCAGAGTACTTCCTCTTCCTAAAATATTTAAATCTTCCTCTTCTTTAGAATTCAGCACAAATTCAGCACAACCTCAACCTTCCCCAATCCTCCACTCAACTTAGAAATTTCTCTCTTCACTGAACTTCTAGTATACTTTTTTATGTCTCAAGCAGTAAGGAGCAAATTCTACCATGTATTACATTTATGTCTGCACACTTTTTTCTCCTCTACTAGATTGAGGACTTCTCTACCAGACTATCTGATGTCTTTTGAATTAATATTTTATCCTCAAGATAATCAAGAAAAGTCCTGCAACATCTTAAAGAATGTGCTTAGTACAAGTCTACAATACCTATAGTGAACATAGTAGAAGGGCAAAGTATTAAAAACTTAAGAAAGCAAAAATATCTCTGGAAGGATACAAAAGAAATAGTAACACAGGTTGCCTCCACGGGCAAAAGGAAGACATTTTCCTTAATATCATTTTGCTTCTATTGAAGCTTGACTCACACGGACAAATGATCTATTACATATTATTATATGAATCTTGATTCGTAAACAGTTCTATTACAATTACAAAAAAAGTCTTAGTTTAATATACTTAAAAACAATGAACTTTATGGAAAAATAAAAACTAAATAAAACTTATAAAACCTACACATTTATCAGGCAAATTAGGAGAAAACTGCAATATTCTGCACTCACCTATATAAATTACCAGTATCCACTGAGCATCTACCATGTACAAATAGTCCTAGTAAATTAATGTTATTTCACTTAATATAAAAACTTGAAAGCTGACATATTTCACAGCAATGTTTGTTATCTTGTTAAACTGAAATCTTTTTTATTATAGAATAAATATTACATCTATTTCACACAAAAAAATTTCTACTTCTTATTCTTCGCACCTCATCGGTAATCTAGCATTCAAAAGGAATGTTTTCCCTTTTCCAGTTACTAATGTATTTTTTATGTTTACTACACTTAGGTCAGACCTCATCTTCTCTTATATATGGCCCTTGACCACTTCTATACCAAATAGCTGTCAGCCATCCAACTGAACCCAAGCCCAAGGCTCTTTGATTGGATGATGTGGAGAATCCTTGCAGCCCTATCACAACCTGTTACTTGATATTTTTATTTTGTATATGAAGATGGCAGAAATATGCACCAGAAGCTAGAAGAAAAAAAGGAAGCAGCAAAACTGGAATCAACACATGACATAACAAATGGAAGAGAAGAGATATACCATCAAGGTGGAACTATGAAAAAGTTAGCAAGAAGTAGCCAAAATTGTAGCACAAGGCAATATTATGATGGTTAAGCGGTACTGATGGGAGGATTTTGTATAAAACTGTATCTTAAAAGTTAGCAGGATGCCTAGGACCACACTCACTTGTAAGCCTGAAATACAGTGAAGAAAACTAAAGAGAACTTGGGCGAAAATAAAGATAAAATGGTTATAAATCAGAGCTTAGAAAATGTGAGATGTGGTGTGAAAGCAAATATCTTAGAAACTAAGCCCATATTAAGTCACCCGAGATAATCTAATAAAGTCTGTTTGGAGGCCAGGGAGAAAAATAGGATGAGAGCATTAAAAGGTAATGGTGGTTTGTCTTTAAGAATAAAGACTGTCAAAAGTAGAATGAGTGATGGAAAGCAGTGATGGGAAACGATCTAGTCTTCTAAAAAGTGGATCACGGAAGTGGCGTGGGTTAAGAAACAGAACTTCAATCCAAAGAAAAGAGGATCTTTATGTTCGAGGGAGGTGAGGAAGGTATTGACGGGAACCGCGGAAAGGCGGGAGGGTGAGGTGTGACGTTTGACTCAGAAGCTTAGATGAGAAGCAAAGAGAACAACGCCGAGGAGCAGGACTCGGGGCAGCGGCGTGGCCCGGGGCTCCCTCACCTTGGCCTTGTAGCTGGGCAGGTTGCAGAGGATGTCCGTGCGCAGAGCCTCTTCTGCCAGGCTGCGGGCGCACAGGCTCCGCCACACCTCGCTGTTCTCATCGCCGTGCAGGCAGCGGTACCAATGCTTGCACACCAGGGCGCAGCTCCGCAGCTCGGACAGCTCCAGGTAGGAGAACACCAACTCCAGCACCCGGCTTGGCAGCCGGCCCCCGGCCCCCGCGGACCCAGAGCCCGCGCCCGCGCCGCCGCCGCTACAGCCAGCGCCGCCCGAGGCTCCCCCAGCCCCCGGGGCCGGCGCCGCCATCACCTCACCAGCCGGCCCGAGGGCCGCCGCCACCACCGCTTCGCCCCGTCTCTGCTCGGAAGGCCAAGCCTCGCCTAGCGAACCGAGCAGCTCGCTCACCGCCCCTTTCAGTGCCAACCGCCGGCGCCTTCACCACTCCCGCCCCTGCCCGGGGGCGTTCGCCGCGCGCCCCGCCTCACTAAGGGCAGACGCACCGGCCGCACGGGCGTCCTCCGCCCCTCCCCCGCGGCTCAGCGCGGGGGCCGGAACCGCCCGACACGTCTGGCCTTTCCGCGGCCCGCCCGTGGCTCCGCCATGCGGGTTGAGGGCACGAAGCAAGGGCGCACGCCCAGCCGCTCGCGGTTCCTCTCGGCCCCGGATGTGACTGTTTGGCTGAGGCGCCTCGCGCCTTACGCTCGATAGGATTGGGCGCCCACTGGTGAGGTCATCACCAGGCGCCCAGGAGGGGAGCGGGAACCGCAGGTATGAGGCTGGCGCGGGTGGGTTTGGGGCTTCTGCTCCAGTCCCTTTTCCTCTTTGTGGTTTAGTGGCCTCGCGTCTGTTCTCCCGGGCCCCTTCTCCTAGGACGCTTCCTTGTGTCAGTTAGGTCCTTGCTTCAGACTCAAACTTGACGCATGAAACTTTTCTCTGCTAGCCAATTCCTAGTTCCTCTACCTTCTGCTTGAATTGAATCGTTTTCCTTTACCTCGGGTCGTCTTTTCCTGGTCAGGCCTCGTTTTTCCTAACTGTGCTTATCAGAACGTTTATCCCAGTGTGCATTCGGAAAGTAAAGTGGCTACATTTAACAAACACCCCCCCCCAAAAAAAAAAAACAACGTTTACATAACCTTAACGTGCCATTTGAGTGCTAATTAAGTTCTGCATTCTTTCGGACATTTTTCCAGGTCCACCACTTAGTAGGCAGATTAAGGCAATGTGTTTTAATTCAATTAAACATTCCAATAGGGAAAATGAAGTGAGTTAGAATTACAGTTTCTTGGAAGGGAAAGAATTTTAGCATTATTTGGTCATACTACGTTTTCCTAAGTGGCCCAAAAGGTTTTCCGAGAGCCTTTAAAGAACGGTTAGTAGAAGAATAATAACCATCACATGAGTCACAGTGGGAATCAGGCTCTATACTGAGTCTATTACACGATTTTTACTCCCCCCACCCTCCTACACAGGTTTTTATATGCGTAATTCTCAAAACACCTCTAAGAGGTAAGTAATTATTACAATAATAGGGTTCACAGACTCCCTTAGTCAACACTAGTGTCTTGCAACATTTATGTAGTAAGAATTCTTTCCTGAAGCTTCTCACTGTGTATAAACCATTGCTTGGTCTCTAGCAAAAACAAAAGAACAGCAGCTACCTTCCCTACTCTCTGATATGGTGTTTGATTATTACTTCTTCCCAGATGTCTTTTGCACCAAGCTCAGTAACCCTAATTCTTTTCATTCTTACCAATGTTTTTTGGTGTTTTTTTTTTTGAGACAGAGTCTCCCTTAGTTGCCCAGGCTAGAGTGAGTGCCATGGCGTCAGCCTAGCTCACAGCAACCTCAAACTCCTGGGCTCAAGCGATCCTCCTACATCAGCCTCCCAAGTAGCTGGGACTACAGGCATGCGCCACCATGCCCAGCCAATTTGTTCTATATATATTAGTTGGCCAATTAATTTCTTTCTAGTTTTAGTAGAGACGGGGGTCTCTCTCTCTTGCTCAGGCTGGTTTCGAACTCCTGACCTCGAGCAATCCACCCACCTCGGCCTCCCAGAGAGCTAGGATTACAGGCGTGAGCCACTGCACCCGGCCCTTACCAATGTTAATGCCACATCCCTTTAATCATTTTGGTTGCTATCCAGCTTCTCTAAGACTAGCTTTAGAAAACCAAAACCTGTGAAGAAAAGTTGACCTATACTGACTATAGTGATGGTGATTATCTCTAAGATTATATTTCTTGAATATTGGACCAAGTTTTGTCTGAAAAGTTTTATTTCTTTTAAATCTTCAAGGCTAAGTAGAGTTGGTCCATCTGAGAAGTGAGTAAACAACCAGGTAGAATGAATAGCTTGAAAGGCACCGAGCAAGAAAAGGACAGTGAAGTATGACTAGAGCAAAGTTTTGAGAGTAGAGATTGTTCAGTTATTAGAGACTTTGGCCTTTGTCCTCTCTGTCACACTATTGGGTGAGGTAAAGCCTTTGAAGAATCCGATGAGATAATTCTGGTGCTGATCTAGTCCAGTCATTGAGGTGACTTTCTTTTTTGTTTGTTTGTTTTGAGACAGAGTCTCACTTTGTTGCCCAGGCTAGAGTGAGTGCCGGCCGTGGCATCAGCCTAGCTCACAGCAACCTCAAACTCCTGGATTCAAGCAATCCTGCTGCCTCAGCCTCCCAAGTAGCTGGGACTACGGGCATGTGCCACCATGCCCAGCTAATTTTTTCTATATACATTAGTAGGCCAACTAATTTCTTTCTATTTATAGTAGAGACGGGGGTCTCGCTCTTGCTCAGGCTGGTTTCGAACTCCTGACCTCGAGCAATCCACCCGCCTCAGCCTCCCAGAGTGTTAGGATTACAGGCGTGAGCCACCTCGCCCGGCCTTTTTTTTTTTTTTTTTTTTTGAGACAGAGTCTCGCTTTGTCGTCCAGGCTAGAGTGAGTGCCGTGGAAACTCCTGGGCTCAAGCAATACTTTTGCCTCAGCCTCCCGAGTAGTTGGGACTACAGGCATGTGCCACCATGCCTGGGCCTCCCGGAGTGCTAGGATTACAGGGGTGAGCCACCTCGCCCGGCCTAATTTTTTTTTCTATGTATTTTTAGTTGTCCAGGTAATTTCTTTCTATTATTTTATTTTATTTTTAGTAGAGACGGGGTTTTGCTCTTGCTCATGCTGGTCTCAAACTCCTGAGCTCAAACGATCCTCCCTCTTCAGCTTCCCAAGAGTGCTAAGATTACAGGTATGACCCACCTCGCTCGGCCTGAGGTGACTTTGACTTTCTGTGGCAGACTATTCCCCAAGTGGCCCAAGTAGAATTTCAAAGTAGGAAAAGATTACCTTTATCAATCCCTCCTTTTCTTTTTACAAATCTTTCACCTGCTCATCACCCTCCCCACCAAGCCACTTCCCCATTTTCAGTACTCTCATTCTGCCCTATTACTGTTCAGAACTGCAAACTGTGGTACTTCAGATGCTCTCAAAATACCTCACCCTTGTCTTCAAAAGAGTGTTGCATGAAAAAAAAAATTATCCCACCTTTCTCCCTCACCCACTCCATGATCTCATTGGGTGTTAGAAGGAAGGAATCTATTAACTAATTAAAGTAATTCACAGTAGGATATGATTAATGGCTGTGCTTGACCCTTGAGGCAACTACATCTGAAAAGAGAAGCTTGTTGACTTGACATGAATGTGGGAATAATGGTACTTACCTATTTCTGCTAGGCTTTCCAGTCCCAATAATAGAAAAAGAAGAAACTGGCTTACCAACTCATTTCTGAAGAATTGTTTTAGTTTGACTCAAATTTAATTACATTTCTTCCCCACTGCCCTTCTACCACACTAGTCTGATTGTTTAACTTTTTCAAATAACAGATAATTTTATGGACTAAGTAAACAAATGATTTTGTAGGCTCTAGTTGAATGTAGTTGATCAATACTCTGCATGATAAATGTTGATAGGCTAAAATGAATACCTCAGAGTGTATGGATTTTTGGAGCTTTCCCAACTCTATTTTTCTTAACATTCTCAGTAATAGATATTTATTTTTATTTTTCTGACTAGATAGGTGGCTGGGCATGGTGGCTCACATCTCTACTCCCAGTACCTTGGGGAGGCTGAAATAAGAGGATCGCTTGAGGCCAGTAGTTCAAGACCATCCTAGGCAAAAAGAAAAATTACCCTGACCGGCCTGAGCAACACAGGGATACCCTGTCGCTACAAAAAAGAAAAAAAAATAGAAAACTCAGGCAGTAGTAGTGGTACACCCCTGTAGTCTCAGCTGCTTGGGATGCTGAAGCAGGAGGATAGCTTGAGTCCAGGAGTTGGAGGTTGTGCCATTGGCATCATCATAGCTGGGTGACAGAGCAAGACCTTGTCTCAAAAAAAAAAAAGGCTGAGTGTGGTGGTTCACACTGAGGCTAAGGCAGGAGGATCATTTGAGCTCAGGAGTTTGAGACCAGCCTGAGCGAGAGCGAGACCCCGTCTCTACTGAAAAAAAAAAATAGAAAGAAATTATCTGGACAACTAAAAAATATATATAGAGAAAAAAATAACCGGCATGTTGGAGCATGTCTGTAGTTCTAGCTACTCGGGAGGCTGAGGCAGCAGGATTGCTTGAGCCCAGGAGTTTGAGGTTGCTGTGAGCTAGGCTGACGCCGTAAGAAAGTAAGAAAGAAGAAAAAGAATTTGATCTCAGAAGAGCTGAGATACAGGATAAAAGAGGGAATGCTAAACAAATAGTTAAAAAATAAAATAAAATTGATTCATCATAGCAAAATCAAAATTCTAACACAGGAAAGAGTGACCAACACCAAGATTCATAACAGTTAAACAAAACTATTTTTAACTTAAATTGCCTTTTCAATGCCTAATTCAAATTTAATATTTTAATTTAAAATAGCATCTTTATCATATAATAAGTACATACAACAGTTCTAAGCCTAAGTAATATTAATACCTTTTGCTTAAAATCTTGGTTTATCTGGAACTTTTAGCAAGAGTCTTTGATAATGTCAAAAAATTATTTAAATGCTGCTATTTCAGTACTTGTCAGCAAAAATCAAACCACCAGAGCTCCCTATCTACCTCCCTCTGAGTCATTTCCTCTCCAGGCCTCTCCTTTAAATCTTATTTGTTTCAGTATCTAGTTAATTAGTTTCCTCTGTAATTAAGTGCTTCTACTGAAATTTTAAAAAAAGTTTATTTTTATCTTATTCTCATTTTGTCATCTTAACGAAAATTGCTATATCTGATTTTGTAACTGTGTTTCTATTACCTTGATTACTAATAGATCACTGGTTTTTTGCAGTCTTATTAGTTATTTTGTGTGTGTCCTTGTGTGTGTGTCTGGAAGTGAGAGAAAATAAGCTTTGTATTGGGAATGGAAACTTTAGGCAGATGGCCAGATTATTTTAAATGATTTTTCCAAGCAATATTAAAAAATTTATCTCTGTACTATTGAAATAAATTCAAATATCTTACCTGATAATAGTAAAGCAACTCTGGCAGTTTTGCACTCAGTAAATTTTCCCTTGGCTTGTAAAATTAAAAAATTAAATTTATCCAGATAGATTTGTTTGCATCTTTTTGTTGTATAATTGCGCTGATTTCCTTTTTTGCGTTGACCAGTAGG